GGTGGCGCATGCCTGGAGTCCCAGCTCCTCGGGAGGCTGAGGCAGGAGGATCGCTTGAGCCCAGGAGTTGGAGGTTGCTGTGAGCGAGGCTGATGCCACGGCACTCTAGCCTGGGCAACACAGTGAGACTCTGTCTCAAAAATAAAAAAAAAAAGATTTTTTTCTTTTTCACTATTAGGTTTCTAATGTTCCTGTTTAGGCTGAGGTCAGGATATTTGTTTTGTTTTTTTATGGCCGTAAGGTCTGTGAAGTTTATGTTTTGTTTTTCCGTCTTTGCATTATTAACACAGCTGCCTTACAGGTGTCAAGAGCTTGATACATGTGGTTGAATAAATGATCAAGGTACAGAGCGTTAAGTAAAAATCGCTGCTTGTTGATAAGCACGTCAAGCGTTCGCTCGGTGGCTAAAGCACATATAGATCGTGAAGTCGGACCGTTTGGCATGCAGCAAAGAGAATCGCCCGGGTGTCGTCTGCTTGTCTTTAAGAATCTGTGCTTCCCGCTTCGTTGAGTCGCTGTTGTCTAGCGATATTCTCGCATCTCAGGTTTCGTGTCTGGGTCCGAAGCTTTGAGAAACAGTTCGTTTCCTCAAACTTGCGTTGAGCAAACGTCACGTGCCGTTGTCGAACCGTGAAAAGAACGAAGAAAACCTTCGGTTGCTGCTAATGTGCCTGAACTGGCATTTCCCCTTCTTCTTTCCTTCTCAGGGCTGCCCCTTCTCCCGCGAGGAAGTCTCCTCCAGGACCACGATGCCGCTCCCCCGTCATCCGCGCGCCGCCCGCCGAAGCTGACGCCGCGGGGGTCCCGGTCCCTCGGCGGGAGTCGAGCCGACCCCTGGCATGAGGCCTTGGCAGGGTTGAAGGGGCACCGCCATGGCGTCTCTGGACGACCCGGGGGACGTGCGGGAGGGCTTCCTGTGCCCTCTTTGCCTGAAGGACCTGCAGTCCTTCTATCAGCTGCAGTCCCACTACGAGGAGGAGCACTCGGGGGAGGACCGTGATGTCAAAGGGCAAATTAAAAGTAAGAGGAAGGGCCTCGCTTACCCGGCGCTGTCGTGAGCGCTTTAACTCACGGGGTGCTTTCCTCGGCTTCCACGTTGCCGCCGGGATGGCACAATAACAGTGGCAGCAAACAGATACCTGGCGCCTGTCACGCGCGGGGCTTCTTTTCAAGATCCCTGTGCGTTCACTTGACCCTTACAATAGCTGCGTGACAGCGAGCCCCACTTTGCTGATACGGGCGCCGACACAGAGAGGTTAGATAGTTTGCCTAAAGTCACTCGCTGTAGCGGAGTCTGGGCTGGATGGGGCAATAAGAGGGTTAGAGACCCTAAGAGGGTTTGCAGAGGAATTCCTCTCCTTTGCTGTAAAAGTCGAGGCTCGCTCTTACCTTTCGCAAATGTAAGCCTTCCCTCAACCCTTCCTTCCCCAGCTGGACCTAGCCCCCGCAGCCCAGGAAAAGGAAGGTCACAGTGGAAAAACAAAGAGAAACCACGCAAAAACTTACACCTTGGTTTTTGAGCTTCCGAGGTCCTGGAGACTTTTTCCACGTAGTCATTTTGACTATGCATGTGTTGATTGTATTTCCCGGAAGTCAGATTCTAACCCCCACGTAAGAGGTTGCTCCTCTGGACGTGGTGGTCACGGTCGTCGCCGGGACGGAGAGAAAGCCACGGTCACGCGTTCCTAAGTGGACTTTGGCCTCCAGACACGCGAACCGTACGCACCTCGTCATCAGATGTCCGTCCCTAGAGTCCCACTCCCTGCCTCGCTTTTCTGTTCAGAAAAAAAGAGTTGCC